TACCAGATGAACCCTTAGTCTTATTCCCAACTCGTACAAGAGCGCCTTTCTCGACACCATCCTCGATACCACGGCGAATATGTGCTGTATGCTTCTTCAGAGTCTTAGTTACTGGTTTCTTTGTTACAGTGGCCTTCAGTCTTTTCGTAGTCTTGACTTTCAGTTTGGTGTCCGTCTCTTCCTTAGGCTTTCCTAGAGTTGATTTGGGTTTATTAGCACATAGTGCTTCACTTTTTGGCTTAAAAACCTTGTACTTGGTTAATAAAAAGGAGCAATGAACTTGTCGAGAGACATTTTCGGAACGAGCATACTCCGCAACACCACATGCAGATTCTGAGGCATCGGCGAAGCAATGAGTCTGACCAGCCAGTGGTTTAAACGATTCTGGTGACGCTATGCGATCTTCCAAAGATATCGATAAAGTACGACTAAATGGGTCTTTGAATTCAGTTGAATGCAATTGTTCAAACTTATCTTCTAATTCCTCCTTAGCCGAGAGGTAATTCAGTACACAGTTGCTTGCACGGGGTTCTCTGTAAGGGCCGAACAGCGTCCAACCCAATATAGTCCTCACGACAGACGGTTCATTCGTCTTTCCGGTTCTTAACTCTTTCATCTCATGTATGCCCGGTGCATTGCACACAATCAACAGTTTGACGTTCCCATCTTCTACTCTCGGAAAACTTATGTCTTTTAGATGGGACCAGGATGCCATTTGATGCGCCGTTGGTACAGTCCTGTAAACTGCCAGCAATTTGTTGACTGTCTATACTTTCTGGACCTTAACGGATGAAGAAAAATCCATCGAGTGCAACTCTATATCGACTTCTTTGGATACCAACGACGATTCATCACTAAGAGTTTTTAAAGATACCGTTTTCGGTTTCCCCTCGAGGCCTAACTTAGCTAGATCACCAACTATGAGAGAGGTGTCTGACCCGCTATCTAGAAAGGCGCAAGTCTGAATAATCTTCTCACCATTTTTTATCCACACAGGCACTACTGCAAATGCTACTGGTCTCTGTATACACTTAACGCCTTCCTCCGTACAAAGCTGAGTATTAATGTAGGCATCACCATTAGTATTTCTTTGTTTTTCCCGCTTCTCGTGTAACAGAGTATGGTGTCTCCAGCCGCACCCTTCAACATCACACGACTTTGGTGATCGACAATTTTTCGCTACATGGTTTGCCTTCAGACAAACATTACATAACTTGTGTCTAAGGGCGAATTCTTTCCTTTCTCTAGCATTCTTGTCTTTAAACTTTTGACATTGATTTAAAGAATGATTACTTGAGCACTCCAAACAGGACAAACTACGTAAGGCAACTTTGTCATCACTAGTACTCGCGTAAGATATCCTCGCTGCATTGTAATCTCCACTAATTCTCCCTTTTAAAACATCAACATCTCTATTGTCACTATTACTACCGCGGTTGACAAGTAGGCCGTATCTAGTATTAGCTATATCAGCTTGTTCCTTTACAAACTCAACAAGATCGGCAAACACAGGCTCTCGACCTCCTCTGATAATCTTATAAGCTACCTTTAGCCACTCTTGTTGAATGTGCGTTGGTAATTTCAGAACCATAGTTTCGATAGTTCTAGAAGAGTTCAAATCAGAAACGTAATTCATCTGTTCGAGAGTCAAACCACATGCTTGCATTTCTCGAGACAGTCTTCTCAAACCATCTGGTTGATTCCTTCTTATAATGGGAAAGTTTAGCAAGTTGTCGATAAACGTGCGTGCTATAACGTGTTTTTGGCCAAACGTTTCCTCCAAAAGTTTTAGGGCTTGACGATAACCTATCTCTGGTTCTAGTATGGTACAATGAAGGATAGAGGCTTTCGCTTCTCCGTCGCAATATTGAACCAGGTAATTTAGCTTAGCTCTAAATCCAATACTCTCATTCCCAATGCATTCTTCGAAATTTCTAATGAAATTCCAATAATTTGTCGGTGTACCATCAATCTTAAGACTTCTCTTTTTGGTAAATACAGGTTTTTTAATATTGTATTGCTTACTGATTGGCCAGAACCTTCACATCCCTGGCGACGTAACATTTCTAGTTCAATTTCCTTTTCTAACTGGGTTATGCGTAACCTAGCTAATTCTAGTTCTATATTTGGGTTCGTTCTTTTCAAGTTGATCCTCGTCATAAACTCCCAAATGATGGGGTGATAACTCTGGAATCTCATCAGAATCGTAGTATTTAATGGAAGTCATTTCAATAGGTATATTGAAAGTTACTGTTCGAAACTTTGTAGGAAACAATTTCCTACAGGTTTAACTAAGCTATTCTCTAAACTGTCGAATACAGAGTCTTGCTTTAGCCAAAGTCAGAACAAGTAAGCTATTTGGCCTGATAAACTTTATCTGTTTCTAAAACATAAATTACACACCGTTAGTATACAAAATAAACAGTACAGTCTATTAACGTAGGGGAAACAGAGACATAATTAACATACCGAACAGTAATCAGAGAATAGGAAAAACGAGTCAGCAAAGCGAATATTGTTTTATAATGAATATAAAATTATGATTGGTGGATAGAAAAAAGGTATAGTCATACAAGGTCAAAGAAAGTGAACGTGGTGGTGGGCGTTTCACCTTATCATTGGTGCGTTCGTTTATCGATGACATTTTACAACCACCACGAGGTGTCTAGTTGCGGCCAACTACAAGAAACCCACTGCTGACATACAGCACAACAATCGTATGCCGGAAAGATTTTCCCGCTCTTCGACTTTGGGATTCCCTTATATCTTGATTTTACGGGATTTCAGTCTTCTTAAAGTCAATCTCGCGGAACATTCGTATATTGGAGGTGAAAACTCAACTGAAGCTTGGTTCTTCAACCTCATTGAGGATCTGGGATTATTCGGAAATATGAAGTCGGCAACTCGTTTGAGAAACAGTCAGACGCCGCCGCGCTTAGACTGGGTATTTGCAAACAAAGAATTTCTAGTTGACAACCTCTCAATCCTGGCTTATCATGGGGAGAAGCGATCATGCCGTCATAGCCTTCAGTGTCTTCAGCAAAACTAAGCTAAGATATACCACCAACAACAGGTGCGGGAATTTCAAACGGTTGGATGTGTCAGCTCTACAGAACTATCTACAAGTGGATTGGGATGTTCACCCTCAACATGATGTAGATGCTCATTGGGACTTCTTACTGTACATACTTTTTATGCGCTGCAAAGCTTTCTGTTCCTAAAATGATCCCCAAAATCTACGAGTAACCTACAGTCATCGAGATCCGCACTCCTCGTTTGTTAAGCCGCAAAAAGCACCGTTGGGCAGGATACAAACGAAGTGATAACAACGGCGCTTACAGGCAATAGAAATATATAAGGAACACATACACGACGGCCATAAGAGAAGACGGGCTTCAGCATCAGATAAAGCTTATAGACAAATTTGTCTCCTATCCGAAAAGCTTATTCCGTTATGCAGCCTTTCTTCGTCAAGCTAAAACTGGAGTTGCCCAACTGTTAGTTCCCAACTGTTCGACCGAAAACGACGGTGACGCCGCTAGCCTGGCTGAACAATACTCTTGGACATTTCAACCGACCCACATCAACTATATTGATGAAAGCTTCATCTGCAACTGCATAAGAGTTTCCGAAGTGATCCTGAGCGCTGACTTGGTGTTCCGGAAACTGCAGCACATAAGAAAAGACACTTCTCCTGGCCCGGATATAGGTCATCCTGATATACTAAGCGAAGCGGCTTCAACCCTGGCAACACCAATTAGCGTGATGTTCTCACACTCTCTAAGCCAAGGCAAACTACCGGAAATTCGGGAAGCTGGCTCACATCACACCAATTCTCAAGAGGAATTGACGCAGCGAACCTTCAGGCTACCAACCGGTAGCTCTTCTCCCTAAACCTTCAGAAATTGTGGAGTCGCTGATACACTATGGTACACACGACTACTTGCTATCCCTAAGCTTCTTTTCACTCAATAGCATGGTTTCACGAAGGGTCGTTCTCGTATAACCAACCTGCTGACTGCAGTGGACAGATGGACAACCATCCTTGATTGCAAAGGGAAGTTTGATATCATTTACCTTGACTTCCCAAAAGCCTTTGATGGGGTCAACCACATATGTGTTATCAATAAGTTCAGACAATTGGGTTCCAAATCACCTTTAATTGACAGGCTCACTTCACATCTAAAAAATCGACACTTCAAGGTCAAGATTAACTTCACTTTCCCTCAGGCTATAGAAAGTCCTGTTGGGGTTCCCCAGGATTCAATACTAGAACCTTTTCTTCTCTTGATTTATATAAACGACCTTCCACAACAGGTATCGTCAGACTTTTTACTTTTTGCTGATGATGTGAGGCTTAGGAGAGAGATACGCAACCAAGAGGATGTACTGGTACTCCAGGAAAATCTGACTCGACTTCAAAGTTGGGCAGACGACAGAAGACACACCATTAACACTTCAAAGTGTAAAGTAGTCCATCTGAGATATGTTGCAAACTACAGTTACAACTTAGGGAACTCTTCTCTAGAAGTATCTCAAGTTGAAAAAGATTTTAGAGTGCCGGTACCCTACGATTTGAAGTCTCACGCTAACTGTGATAAAAATGTCTTTCGAGAAAACTAGTGTGGAGGTAAATAAATCCCCAAAATCAATAGCTCTGTAAGTCTTGGACATTGGGTGTTGACCACGTTAGTTTTAGTGGACTCACAACATAGTAGAACAGGTTGTAGACACAACTTCTACTCCTCAAGAGTTATCAAATGCTAGGATTCGCTGCCGGCTGAGCTAGCCAAAGCGACTTCCCAGGAGTTATTTATGAGCTAACTTGACCTATTCCTTAGGACTGAGGATATCTTACAAAGATCTGCCAATTTCTTTTTCTTCTTTTATAGTTAATATACCTAGGCTCCTGCCCTGAGGTATTGGTGATTCGCTGCTACTAGACACGGAAGCCTATTAAGCGAAAGCTTCTTCTATTCCGTCAACAACCATTTGAACCATTTGAAACTGTTCTTGATTCGTGTCTCGTTCAAATTTTAGCGCCACATATTCCTAGTTACTGGGTTGGATGTGATTGTTAAGTTTGCGGCCTATTTGTTGTCTTTTTTCTGTTCCAGGTTTTCACATTACCACTCACAATGTAGTTTCAGAGTAGATCCGAATGTACGGAAAACTGAACTTCATGTGTTACATATATGATGTTTCTATTGTCAATCTTCTGCTTCAACCTTATTTTTACATTTTTGTTTCAAGTCTTATTGCTTTGTGAATACACTGGTAGTGTTTTTATTAGCGATACAACAGCGCTTATTAATTATTGTATCAGTGTACGTTAACGTACATCCTGATATAATACATTACCTGCATGTAGTGATGTCACACAATTGAATAATCATTCGAATGAGAACTCCAGTAAAAAATTCCCATACTGAAACACTCAATAGCCTTAACTGAGGATACTTTTGTCGTACCGTAGGAGAGTCGGAACTTCGTGGTATGGATTCACAGTCTCCCAGTATCAAAAGCAAACAAATGTAATATCACTATTTCTAGGTTATCTAATATATGATATGCCAACCACTGTTGTCTTGCTACTTATGGGAGATCCCTCGTGTGTGTGTAAAAACTATGAGGATTACCAAAAGAAATGCAAATATCAAAAACTATTTACACAATAAGTTTGTTGTGCCTGTCTCCACAGCGTCAGATTCAGATTTGCGTAGAAAAGACAAAAGGCTTACAGCCTATGTTATTCCTTTTCTAGTATGCTTCAGTGAGTGCCCAGTCTTTTGAAAGAGTCAATCTATTTATGTGTATCACTGAGTCGATGTTTAGGGTTGACATGCCAGACGAAGTGTTCTCTTATACTCAAAGTTGATTCTTGTTAGAGATGAACGTTTATCTGAACATAGTTGCAGCATCTGATCGCCACTGTCTATTTACTGAGGTGCGACACCGTAAAATCTTAACTGCCTTTCACTTACGTTTCGACTACCTACATAGCCATTAAAACCACCTGCCAATATTATTACACCTGAGCGTTTGGCTTTTCGGAGGGAGAAAAAACATCCTGTCAAACTCATCTTTTACCTCATACAAATTGCCGTTATTGGGAGCATAGACGAAGGCAACATTGTGTACCTCTACCGTTCCGAGTTCTCAATGTCCCTTTTAGTCGGACAATGCATAAGTGACTATCCATCAGAATCCAGTTCAGGAGAGTGTTCCGTTCTAGATCCAATTTTAAACCTGTGCCAAGAAAGCCACAAAAAGCAGTCGTCCTCATATACACTACTCGTTTTCTATATTAAGAGAATTCAGTCAGGTGAATGACCACAATCTGACCCTGTATGCGCATTTCTGCGAAAATATATTCTAGAGTCCTAACTCAGGAAGTTTGTCTTATTTGACGTAATGTTAGAACATAGCTTGAATATGTAGTCTAGAACGCGGTTTCGAGTCAGGAATGACATTTCGTGAACTCATGTTGTTAGCATCAATGACGCATGGTGATAAAGTCATAGGAGAACGATTGATAATGAGGACAGAAAAAATACTAAGAAGTGACGGAGAGATTCAATCGCGAAAAAGTAGTGTCCGGTGCCGTTAAGGATACAAGAGCAGTTGCCAACTATCCGTTTTCCACACCGTGGAAGGATATTTCTTCTTCAAAAACTTGAATGCAAAACTGGATTAGTAGTGGACTTCGGGACCTGTAGGCGTAGCCACAGAGCCTGAGGAACAACTAGACAAAGCCATGTAAGTAGGTGTAGGCTACCTGGCTGCGGTCCGCGCGATTATCGTAACCAGTGATTAAAGACTCTGAGTGACGGTACCCAGGGTCGTTTGTAATGACATGGGTGCGTTTACTCTTCATGCTAGAAATTTTTATTTACTTGGGTCATACAATTGTTGTGTTTTTGCAATGAAGTAATATTTTCAGTTAATTTGTTGCCCATCAGGATTATTCATCTTTTTGCTTTATGCTTTGGTGAATTCAGCTTAAATTATAATGGCTACAATGGCAGGATTAAAAAGTCACGATTCTATTCTCTCAAAGTTGGACACTTTTAAGCGTAAGAGAAAAGCTCGCCTGGAAGTTGAAGAACTCAATAAAGAAAGTCGTCAAGCTATCGAAGTGGCAGTTAGTGCTTTAACAACTGACGATCCCAAACAATATCAATTAGAAGAAGGACAAGAGCGTTCTTTTATTGAGAAGTCATCGCAAGTATGCTTATGGTCTTACTTAAATTATTTTAAAACCTTCATAGAATTCTGAAAGTGTTAAGAATTTAGTGGACAAATTATTGACATGGATTAATAACGAACTATCAGAACATCGAATTCTCGTGAGAGATATTCAAGAAGATTTATATGACGGTCAACTTCTGCAAAAGTTAGTTGAAAAACTAGCGAAAATAAAGCTAGATCATCCTGAGTTAACGCAGTCTGAAATTGGACAGCTTCAACGCTTGCGTGTAATTTCAGCAATACTAATTAACTAATTTTTAGGGTGTTTTACAAACTGTCAACGAAATACTTCATGTATCAGAAAGTTGGGCCAGTCAACGATGGACTGCCGAACGTATTCATGAGAAAGACTTGGTTGCTATTCTGCGCCTACTAGTTGTTATTGCTCGTCAGTTTAAACCAGAAATGCGTTTTCAACCAGGTGTTTTTCTTACCGTCATAATCGCTCGCAAATTAAATGGTAAATTGGAGTATCGTTACGAAAGGGAATACATCACTGAATTCACAGAAACATTACCTGGTTAGTTATTTCATATTACATTGTATTCATTAGCTATAGATAAAATTTTATTTTATTAACTGCTAGCATCTTTTCAATTGAATATACAATAATAATATGTTAGAGAATTTAATGATAATGATCTCGTTTGATTGTCTAGAAATTAACACAGAAGCAACTACCAACATGTGTTCGAGTTACAATGGATATTTTGGTGAATCTTTAAAATAAATCACTTTTGTCATGTTGTTTCTAAAACGAACTATTTATTTACCGAATTTCCATTCCTACTTATAAGCGAGATGTTAATGTGCAAGCTTTTGTCATAGATTATTAGAAAATTAAGAGCCGTGTTGTAAACTGAGTTTGAATATTGAAAAATTCATTGTATAGTTCGATGTGTGCTCTCAATAATGGTTACAACACTCAACTTTTAACTGTTAGGCCACAGGTCCAGATCCTACCCCATTTCTATTCGGGCAGTTCGGTAATATTATTAGCCCTCACGCAAATAGTGTTACCTGATCAGGACATTTTTAACGTCTAGCACTGTTCACTCGTCTTCTCCGCCTTACCCTCCCACTTTCCATTCTGAACGACTGTCTGGATGAACGAGTGCTTAAAATAAATTCATCCAAGGCAAACCGTTTTGGGATTCTTATTGCCCAGACAATTCCCAAATACGTCTAGAAGCTAATGAAAACAGCGTAGACCAGCAAGAAGTCTGCGTAATGATCCTCAACAGTGATTGACGATGAAGGCAAAAAAATTAGATAGTCGATCTATGTTGAAAACTGTTTAAAGTAACTAGAAACGCCGGTTAAAAAGCGTACTATTAGGAAGATTTCTCTGAAAACAATAGGTTGTCGACCGATTCTAAAAGCAGAGGAATATATACGCTCGGCATAACACTTTGAAAAACAGTTCCAATGGCCTCGAAATATTTTCAGTTACCCACAACATAATAACAGTCTGAATGCGATGTTGAAAACTGACCTCTTACTCAGTAAATTTGGAAAATCTGTAGTTACCTAAAAGCGAGGAAGAGCATCCTGTTGTAAAGTGTTTTATCCAAACATCTTTGAAGACTGTGGATCAGTTTTAACGTCTCACAACTGAGATATAGCCGTTGTTGCACCTCTTACCCTCCATGGAAAAGCATATGCCGCCCACTAGCACTCTCCATACAACTCTGTTCTGGGCAGTCCTTTCCAGTTTCTTTTCATCCTTTTCATGTCTGCTTCCAATTCCAGACGCATTGTGTTCTTTGGCCTTCCTCTTTTCCACTTCCCTTCAGGATTCCAAGTTAGTGCCTGCATCGTGATGCAGTTTGATGAATTCCGTAATGTATGTCATATCCACCTCCATCATTTTTCTCCTAATTTCCTCTTCAACTGGAATCTGGCTTGTTCTCTCCCACAGTAGGCTGTTGTTGATGGTATCCGGTCAACGAACATTCAGTATCTTGCACATAATATTGCTTATAAACACTTGCACACTAGATGACGGTTGTAGGTGTTCTCCATGTTTCAGCTTCGTACGATAGAACTGTCTTTACGTTCGTATTGAAGATTGTGACTTTGATGTTGGATGACAGTTGCTTTGAGTCCCACATGTTGTACAACTGTAGGAGTGTGGACTTTGCTTTTCCAATCCATGCCATCGTATCTACATCAGATCCTCCTTGTTTATCAATCATGCTGTCTAGAAAAGTGAAAGTTTACGCGTCTTCAAGAACTCCTTCAAGTGCAATTCAGTCGGTGTCTTGTGTTGTGTTTGAGAATCTTGCTTTTTTCCTTGTGTACGTTGAGGCCTATTACTGAAGAGGTTGCTGCTAAACTGGCTGACTTCACCTGCATTTGTTGATGTGTATGAGATAGAAGAGCTAGATCATCTGTGATGTGCAAATCGTCTAGATGCATCCAAGCTGTCGATTGTATTCCGTACCTTCCCTCAGATTTGGGGGTCTTGAGAATCCAGTCAACCAACAGAAAAAATGAGAGAGAGAGTAAGCAGCCTTGCCTGATCCCGGTCCTCATTTGGAATGCGTCTGCCAGCTATCCTCCATGCACAACTTTACATTGTAGTCCGTTGTATGAATACCGGATAATGCTGACGATCTTCTCAGGTACACCATAGTGTCGAAGAAGGTTCCACAAGGTTCTCCTATCCACACTGTCAAACGCTTTCTCATAGTCAAGGAAGTTGATGTGTCGTGACGAATTCCATTCAATTGATTGCTCAACAATGATCAGTGGTGTCGCGATTTGATCTGTGCACGATCGATCCTCACGGAATCCAATCTGTTGATCTCGAAGTTGGGCGTCTACTAAATCTTTCATCCGGTCCAGCAATACACTGCTTAAAACGTTTCCCAGTACAGATAGTAATGTGATGTCTCTCAGTGATTGACTTGCCTTCTTTGTCCTTGACCGGTCTCTCTAGTTTACAATATTTCTCTGGCAGTTCTTTCGTTGCATCATATAGTCGTCTCATATTTCCTTTTCTGACAACTTTCTTCGCCGTCATTGCTAGGTTTTCCATGTATTTCTGCTTGTTGGCTTGGATACTCCTCTTCGTTGTCTTGTTTACTTCTGCATATTCGGCCTGCCCCCCAAATGCCCTGGTACGGCCGAGAGTGGGGAGAGTCCGCTCTCCCTCTCGAAATGCTCTCACATGGCCACGCGTACATAGCCCCTGCCAGAGAAGTCCTACTCACTGCCTTCACGTGGTGGGGGTGTTGTTTACGAAAATGAGAGGACGAAAAGCGAATGTCCGGCGCTTTAACCGGATCCCAAACCAATGGTGCACATGGGCTGCTGGCTTCAGTTTCCTGAGGGAACAAATGGCGTATGGAGCAATCGTTAGTCACCGGCTACCATGGGACTGCATCTCCTCACGATGCTCCACTGCCTTGTAGATCAGAAGTTCAGGTCGAAGGCTCGGGGTGTGGCCCCCTAAGAAAACCACCTGGTTCGGTTTGGGCACCCGTGCAGTATCACAGCCCTCACACAAATCAATTGCGATTCGTGTGGCGCATATGTATTTGGTGCCTCCTTGTACCAATACCTATGTGTTAAAATAAAATAAATAAATAATTCGGCCTGTCTTTTTGGCTTTTTCTGCTCTCCTCCGACTGTTGTTGATTACTATCTTCTCTCTATGAATCCTCCTCAGGGTTTCCATAGACATTCACTCTATATTCTGATGCTTCTTGTGGTCCAGCACTTCCTGACACGTTGAAGTTAATGCTTCTTTGATCCCTTTCCTGTTGTCCTCCATAGTAGTTTCTTCTTCCTTCAGTAGATCTTGTAAGGCTTGGAACCTGTCACTGAGAGCTAACTTGAATTCGTGCAGTTTGTCAGTATCTCGTAGGAAGGCGGTATTGAAACTTTGTAATGCTGTTTGTTCAGTTGTTCAGTGCTTCTTATGCTCCAGTTTCATCTTGGCAACCACTAGGTGGCCCCCTGAAGCTATATCAGTTCCTCTCTTGATTCTCACGGCTTACATCGACCTTCTGAATTTACTAGTAATACAAATATGGTCAGTCTAGTTCTCCGTGATGTGGTCGGATGAGACCCATGTAGCCTTGTGTATGTGTTCGTTTGAGGATATAGTTCCACCTACAATCATTTTGTTGGATGCACATAAATTTGCAAATCTCTAGTAACTGTCGTTCCTTTCTCTCAGTCAGTCCATTTCGTCCCATCATATCTTCACATCCAGTGTTGTCCATTACGACTTTGTCTTTAATTACAGACCTAGATGTGGTCTACATACTTATTGTTCTCAATGCCTCCTTAGCATTGGCATACTTTCTGATATTGGTTGTGTTTGTTGGCCTTAGTAGTGCGTTTAACTCCGTCGATCAACCGATTTTATATCAGTGTTTGTTACTCAAAGTATTACTAAATCAGTACCCAAACTTTGTCAAGGTTTTTTAATCGAACTCTGGAAAGCGAGTCAGTTTATGGCATATTATCATCTGGATAGGTAGTCTCAAGTCGTGTTCACCAAGGCTGCGCACTTCATCCACTTTTATTGACTTTACTCGTTCGACTTTTAGGGATTGATGTCCAAGCAGAAGATTAATTCACTAATCTAGGATGTAAAACGGAGATCTCTATGGTGAAGACGCTGACGCGTTACACTACATGAATATTTTGAGTGTATTTTTCTCATCCCAAATGCAAAATGTTGCTTCTGGATTGATCTTCATTGGTTCATAGTTGCGCTATACGAAGTGTTGTTTTCGAGTTTGTAGACCACTTCCTTTATCATAAGTTTCACCAACACAACAAGGTAGGTTGTTATCTTGGCTCGGGTACAGTGTCCCTGTTTGTGTCATCTATGGCATACGTGATATATATTCCCAACCAAATAATTGGCGAGTATAATGCCCAACTTTCTGTTTCCTACTGCTGTAAGCGATGGCTTATGAAAGCAGAAAGAGTGGGTAGACTGAAACTATCTGAATATAAATGTCTTTAAATCATTGATTGTGTTTCGTGAAATAACCGAGTGTTCAGTGATAAAGTTAGACTTAGGATATGTTAAGGAGTAAGCCCATTGCTTAGGATATTATCGTTCATCGAATAAAATAATTAAACATGTGCTCCCATTGTTTACCTATCCTTAACGATGTCATCTGACATGCTAATTGATTAGAGCGAAAATAAACATGCGAAAACCAGTTTGTGACTTTTTTCCATAAATTCATTGACTATTGGTTTGAACCATGTTTTAAACTGGGTGACATAGCACAAAATTGATTTCGGATCAACTCGTTCTTCTCATTGAACTGTTTTTGTCGTGTTTTTTCTATCGCTTTCAGAATTGTTTCCTATCCTCTAATCGGAGTGTTGATTTTTTCCTCTCTCTCTGCTAACATGAGTTTTAATTTGTGATAATACACATGCGCACAAGGTTCTACCTTGATAATGACTGACTGACGTAATTCATATTTGAATAAACAAACCGTCATGTAATTACTGATTTGGATATCGTTTTATTCATTCGTTTATCTTTCTCTTACTTAGAGTTGATTACTGTTTTTTCTTGTACGTAAAAATACTAGATGGATAAATGTTGAGAGCTAGATAACATTGCTTTTTCGACTAATATAAGCTTATTAATAAATTACTGTTTTACACTTCAAGCCGGCAGTCCTCTCGATGCCATATCAGAACATCATATGGTTTTGCAAGCAGTTCTTACTTTTATCAATGCACATTTGGAACAAGTTGGCCTTCATGTTAATGATCTCTCCAAAGATGTAAGTTTTTTGCGTAAATTACTGCTCAAATCTTCTCGTATTTTAATTCATTTCACTGAAATAATATAAGTTTGGGTGACAATCGCAGAAGAATCAGTTTAACTAATATATTGTATAAAATATTAACCTCAATAATAGTTCAAAGTCTAACTAGGGCTCGTGAAAAGCCAATCTGAGAACACCGGGCTGGTTTCAGACATGAACGTAGATGTATAGACCAAATATTTACCCTTCAGGAGATTATCGAACACAGATTTACTTTCCAACGTCCTAATATAGTTGTATTCCTTGACCATAAGGCAGCGTTCGACTCTGTTAATCGTGAGGTTCTATGACAGTGTCTATCATTGAAAGGTGTATCAAAGAAGTACATCAATCTTGTACTGGCCCTTTAGTCGAACACTACTGGCCGAGTCATTGCTTATGGCGAACTGTCATTGGAACTAATTCCTTCAAATGGTGTTCGTCTGGGTTGTCCGCCTTCCCTATTTTAATTTAACTTTGACATAGACATGCTTTTAGAGAGGTTGCTTTCATCTGATTTTTCAGAAGTTCATCTTTTACCAGGAGATTCGCTTGTTGGATTAGAATACGGAGATGATATAATTCTGTTCTCAGAAGACACTAACAAAGTTCAGTCTTCTGACCACCTTTAAGTAACAATCTTAGGATGTTAGGGATCCCGTTCTCACTTTAAGTGTAAAATGTTACTTCAGCATCGTCTTGCGTCATCACCCGAATAGGTGATAGGTAGTGAAGTAGTTGGACGTATTGACTGCCCTACTTTTCTTGGAAGTCTCATCATACCGAATACATATGCGTCACACAGATCTCATTTGATATGTGTGAGGGCTGTGATACTGCCCGAGTGCCCAAACCGAACCAGGTGGTTTTCTTAGGGGACCACTCCCCGAGCCTTCAACCTGAAGATCTGATCCACAAGGCATCGTGAGGAGATGCAGTCCCATGGTGGCCGGTGACCAACGATTGGTTCATACGCTATTTGTTCCTTCAGGATACTGGAGCCAGCCCATGTGCACCATTGGTTTGGGATCCGGTTAAAGCGCCGGACATTCGCTTTTCGTCCTCTCATTTTCGTAAACAACACCCCCACCACGTGAAGGCAGTGAGTAGGACTTCCCTGGCAGGGGCTATGTGCGCGTGGCTATGTGAGAGCATTTCGAGAGGGAGAGCGAACTCTCCCTCTTCTCGGTCGTACCAGGGCATTTGGGGGCAAGTCTCATTAATACTGATGGTCTGATGTCCGATGAAATCTCGGCACGGATTCAGAAGGTGTAGGTGAAATATCTGTCTTCCAACCAAAGGGCGAGTTTACTGCGCAGCAGTTTGCTCCGTTGTAGTTTGTGGATGTGAAACGTGGCCATTAAGGGTAGAGGATATTTGTAGGTTACTGGCATTTGATTATAGGTGTCTACGAAGCATTGTCCGTGTATTTTGCAACCACGGAGTAAGCAATGTCTTGATTAGGAATAGAGTGCCAGGTAAGGATGGGGAACTGATTGGTCAGGTAGTAAATCTTCATCAATTGAGGTGGTTGGAATATGTGTCACGTATACCCAACCACCGTCTACCTCGACGAGTGATATTTTCTGGTGCAACAGTTGCTAGCTAGAAGAAAGGTAGGGGCAACCAAGCCAAAACATGGCATCAGTACATGAAGTTACTGACGATTGGACTTAGCCATGTTAATAAGTATAGATTACCTGGTTGTGGTCCGCGTGATTCGTAACCAATGGTCAGACTTTGAATGACGTGGCTCAAAATCGTTTGGAATGGGGCATGTGCGTCTAGTTTTTGTCTTCCCCAAAATAATGAAATTCTACATTCCTCACAACATATTTTTGTTTATATTTCGATAATTTAGATTTTCTTTTTAGGTTGTATTTTCGACGCTTAGTTTTTTCTATTACCACAGTTGCTGTTACTACCTGTACTATTGTGAGATTTGGCCTGACAAAGTTAATGGGGTATGACAACTTGAGCCGATGCACATTCGTACAGGTTCTACATTTTTGATTGACTGATATTCTCAGAAACCTACCACTCTTCAAATTTTCACAGGTTGGTTTACAATCTGATGGGTTTTCGTTGAAGCTCTGCCTACTATCATGTTTTATAAACACTCATCACAATACATTCACCAACATGTGATAACTCAACAATTATTTAGCATTACCTATTGAAGATTTAGTCAGTTGACACGACGACCAGTTCATTATTTCAACTTTCTGATAATCTACGCTCTCAACATCACATATGTCACTAAGACCACCTCTTACCCGATTTCCTTTTCAAGTACCTCCAGAAGAACCCTAGTGCGCAAAACATTGTCCCAGGTCTACTGAAACCTCGCTCCAATCTACACATTGGAGCCTTCAAAGTACGCACACTATGCCAAATCGGTCAGCAGGCATCCTTGGCTAAAACCCTAGGATATCGTACAATTGATGTATGCTGTGTCTCCGAAACACGCATACATGATCCTAGTGTGGTCATTCAGTTGACCTCACCTCGGCAAAACGGAGAGCCGACGAGATACACCCTCCGTGTATCTGGCGACCTGACGGCTAGTTCTCGTGGACTGGCAGGTGTAGGCATAGCACTAAGCATGAGGGCGGATCAAGCGCTATTAGAGTGGATCCCCGTTAATAGTCGTCTATGCGCTGTTCGGCTAAACGGCTCTGCAAGAACTCAGAAGGATAGGGACACACGTCGTTGCCTTTTCGTCGTTTCTGCCTACGCTCCCACTGACTGCAGCTCGGATGAAGTGAAAGATGAATTTTACAGAAAACTCTCTGAACTTCTCCAGAAAGTTAAACGTTCAGACATAGTGCTCGTACTAGGTGACTTTAATGCCCAGGTAGGTAGCTTAAACGAAGCAGAAAGACATTTAGGTGGGTATTTTAGTATTCCGGCACAGAGAACAGATAATGGTGATCGTCTGCTGCAACTGTGCTCAGACAACCGTTTATTTTCAGCAAACACAAATTTTAAGCATAAGGAGAGACACCGTCTGACATGGCGCCCGCCTGCACCAAATCAACGATGGACTCAAATAGACCATATTGCCATCAGTCATCGTTGGAGAGGGTCGGTAGAAGATTGTCGCTCATTCTGGAGTACCTGCTTGGACTCCGACCATGCCCTAATACGAGCACGCATCTGCTTGCGCCTCACTGGACGCAAAAAAGCCACACAAAAAAGACTCATTAGAACCGAATTGAGTATTGAGAAAGCCAAAAGTAGGTTCCAGGAACAATTGATGTCACACTTAGGTAGTTCTGAAAACGAGGCTGACCTCTATGTTGATTGGAAAGACATACAAGCAGCTGTGGAAACAGCAGTGACATCTACTAGTGATCTAAACCACAGGGTTACAAAGAACCAATGGATTTCTTCGAGGTCTATTGCACTGATGGATTCACGCAAACTCATCCCATCAGGTTGTGAACACGATGAAAAGCGTAAAGAAATCAGATCTAAGTTAAGCAAAAGTCTAAGGAATGACCGTGTGCAGTGGTGGGCAACGAAAGCAAAAGAGATGGAAAAGGCGGCGGCTATAGGGAACACAAGACAACTCTACAGACTAATAAAAGAAACTGGAATTAATAAATCAAGTGTAAGTGAGACTATCTCGGAAAAAATCGACCCTCTCATCTACTCCCAGTCCAGACGTTTAGAACAATGGGCGGAACATTTTAGAGAACAGTTCAGCTGGCATTCAGCTACTCTACAACAATCCTCCATTCCCAGACAGTGTGAATGAAACATTGAAGTAGGTCCCCCAACTCTAGGTGAAGTTCAAAAGGCTATAGTTAATCTATGCCGAGTGTCATTGAAAGACGTACTTCAGAAGTACATAAACCTTGTGAGGGCGAACTGTTATCTGCCTTAGCAACCTCAAGTGAGGTCCGTCAAGGCTGTCCACCTTCTCTCTTTTGTTTAACTTTATCATAGACCTCCCTATGGAAATAACGCTCTCGTCGACTGAATTCTCGGGTATTGATCTTCTACCTGGAGGTCCACTTATTGACTTAGAATACGCAGATGACATATTCCTGTTTGGTGAAGACACTGACAAAATGCAGAGTCTTCTGGTAGTATCAAACAACAATACCAGAATGTTTGGGATGCGCTTTTTTCCCTCTAAATGCAAGTTGTTGGTTGGGCCACGTGTTGAGTATTCTTGAACACCGATTATCACGACGTGCTGTGCTAACCGGTGTTGGGGATGTTTAGAAGAAAGTTAGGGGCGGCCAAACCAAAACGTGGCATCAGCGCTTGATGACACTAACATCTGTTCTGAACGATGTTGGTAGATGCAGACTACTTGGTTGGGTTCCGCGTGCCTATCGTAACCAATAGTGGTTGGAGGTTCTGGATGACATGCATCAGAATCGATCACAATGGCTTAGGTGTATACACTTTGTCTTCCTTTAAACTAAGAGATTAAAATCGCTTCATATCTTTCTACGTACTAAAGCTTTCTTCCTGTACTATATTCTTATATGCAATCTTTCTTTTATATATTACTACCATTGATTTAACTAATCCGGTGTTCATCTTGCTATGCTAATGCGGTATGGCAACTTGGACCGATGCATATATGTGCCTGGTCCTACGTTGGAGCTGACTGATTTTATTGGTCCACACCCAAGTTTTTTTATACAGATGATACATGTATCTCTGACCTGATAAGTTTAACTTGTATTGTACGGCCTTGCGGCTAATTTTCGAGTTACACAATTTTGTAAAATCTATTTTCTTTAGTTTTATAATTACCTGATGGAAATGTTCCCATTTTATTCATTCTTCGATCATTAGTTTAGAGATGGCGTCTTACTTATTCTATTAATGGGTCTTATTGATGGCTATTTTGTACCATTTCATGCATATCATCCAACACCAACAACAGAAGAATTGTGTACATCAAATGTTAAACTAGCCTTTGAACTTATTCAAGCAGCTGGTATGGTTGAACCTCCAGCAAAACCTGAAGAAATTGTTGCAGGTGATAGTAGTGCCGTATTACGTGTGTTGTATGGCATCTACTCATATTGTGCACATATGGAGGATGAACAACGTCGATATGAAATAAATAATATTCGAGAACAAGGTGAGATGGATGAATATTACGGTAATAACCAGTAATCTACTGTACAACATGGTATAATTAATTTATCGTAAAGTATATGTAACTGTGATATCTTTTTTTGCTGTTTTCTGTGATGTTAACATTTTAAAAATTACTATGGGATAAAATGCGTTACCATTGAAGTGACTTACTTTTAATAAATACCAGGTTATCATTTAATGTTCTTTAGTTACTTTCTTTTTAGAAACGATAAATAATACAATGAATTTGTATGTAAGTATTCCATTATATGATTTCTCTCTATTTCCCCTGCGAATATATACTTTTCAGCCTGATATTTTTTACATCATCAAAACGTTCTAATGTCAGTTTTGTAGTTCTCTATATTGTATTTTTTTTTGCGGTTATCTTTCTTTCTTTTTTTTTTTTTACTTTTCTAAATATTCATGTTAGTGTGAATTTCTAAATACGATAATAAAAGCAATAACTTTGAAAAGATTTATTTATGATCATGTTCCTTTTGGTTAACTGGTAGAGTGTAGTTTATTAGTTTTCTCCGTGCTATGTATCCTTGAAGTTTATCTTGCTGAATGTATTCATTACTACCAAATAGTATAGAGTTTTGTCTTTTTAGACGTTTATTTCTTGCCTTTATTACGTTTATGTTATATACCATTTCATTGGACAAATATACGAAATAATCATGCCTCCTACATGTATACAAACTGAACATCTTAAAGAGATCAACTTTAGACAACAGTTATCTGTTGTCTTATAAACAAAAAAAAATTGAAAGTCCAACATCAGAGAGTGATTTGGATTTCACAATAAGTACCGCAACGACATTTTGTTCACCAACAGAAGTTTGGAAGCTTAGAAGATAGTTTGATAGATATTTTGTATAAGACTTTAATCCAGCATCCGTATAAATAGTGTGTTCACTTAAAAGTTCTAGTCCCAATCCAATTTACGATTCAAGTTACACTAAATATTTTTCTCGCACAACATATTTTTACATGGGCCTCTGATTATTAATGCAACAGATGCCTATTTCATCCTAGCTTGAAGCCCCGTAAGATTGTGCACTACATTCGCTTTTCGCAGAAAACACTAGCACAATCACACCAATTGGCGAAACTCTGGAAGATGTGGAGTCCTTCACGTATCTGGGAAGCACCATCGATGAACAAGGAGGATCGGATGCAGACTTAAAGGCGAGGATTGGCAAGGCAAGGGCCGCGTTCCTACAATTGAACAACATATGTAACTCAAAAGAACTTTCAACCAATATCAAAGTCACAATCTTCAATACTAACATCAAGACAGTTCGACTGCACGGGGCTGAAACTTGGAGAACTACTACAACCATCATCAAGAAGGTACAAGTATTTGTAAATAATTATCTACGCAATATACTCGACATCCATTGGGTGGATACCATCAGCAATAGTCTTCTGTGGGAGAGATCAAACGCGATTCCAGCTGGAGAGGGAATTAAGACAAGACGATGGAAATGGATAGGACATACATTACACAAATCATCAAACTGCACCACGAGACAAGCGGTAAATTAGAATCCTGAAAAGAAGTGGGTAAGAGAAAGGCCACAAAACACATTACGTCGGGAAATAGAATCGTATATGAAAAGGATAAATAAGAACTGGAAAGAGCTGGAAAGGATTGTTGAGAACAGGGTTGGATGGAGAATGCTGGTGAGCTGTCTATGCTCCTCCATGAGGAGTAACGGGCGTAAGTAAGTGTCTACAGAAGAGCAGTATATATTGCGACAATTATGATTAGCTGCCAGGTCTAGACGTCAAGGCGAGGATTGGCAAAGCTAGAGCGGCATTCCTTCAACTGAAGAACATATGGAACTCAAAACAACTTTCAACCAATATCAAAGTCAGAATCTTCAATACGAACGTCAAGGCAGTTCTACTGTACGGAGCTGAAACTTGGAGAACTACTACAACCATCATCAAGAAGGTACAGGTATTTATTGATAGCTGTCTACGCATGATACTCAACATCCATTGGGTGGATACCATCAGCAACAGCCTTTTGTGGGAGAGAACCAACCCGCTTCCAGCTGAAGAGGAAATTAAGAAAAGACGATGGAAATGGATAGGACATACATTGAGGAAATCATCAAACTGCATTACGGGACAAGCGCTAACTTGGAATCCTGAAGGGAAGCGGAAAAGTGGAAGGCCAAAGAACACATTACGTCGGGAAATAGAAGCAGATATGAAAAAGATGAATAAGAACTGGAAAGAGCTTGAAAGGATTGCTCAGGACAGGGTTGGATGGAGAATGCTGGTGAGCGGTCTATGCTCCTTCGCGAGTAGTAACAGGCGTAAGTAAGTAAGTAAGCCAGGTTGAGTGGACGACTTATCTGTAAATATGAGAGATCGAACTGTGTAACAAACGATTTAGCTCGTCAATCCGATGGATGGTTTTCACAACAGTTGATATTAACCGCAAAATATTTCATTTCACATTAGAGGTAAAAACTAAATGCGATTAGAAGTTAAGGCTCTATAAATCTGGTACCTGACAGTAGAACCGACGGTACAACTTGATTACTTTGGATATTTAAACCGATGGTACTAGAAATATGTAGGATAATGTTGATCGTCTCAAAATCATTCTTAGGTCTGTAAGAGTTTATGGTTAAGAGACATCATCCTTAAAACACCGACAGTATGATCTTACTCTGGACATGAAAATTTTTATTATACCTGGCTTTAGGTCTCCTGAACATACACTCTTGACAAAGCCAACTGACTAACTCATGCCTCTTACCGCTAGTAAAAAAAGCAAAGGGTACGCATTAGGATTCTACATTCAGCTCTGTCTTGGGCAATCCTTTCCAGTTTCTAGTCAACCTTTTCGTGTCTGTCTCCAATTCCAGACGTAGTGTGTTCTTCGACCATCCTCTTTTCCACTTCCCTTCAGGATTCCAAGTTAGCGCTTGCATCGTGATGTAGTTTGATGAATTCCGCAATGTATATCATATCCACCTCCATCATGTTTCTCCTAATTTCCTCTTCAACTGGAATCTGGCTTGTTCTCTCCCACAGTAGGCTGTTGTTGATGGTATCCGGTCAACGAACATTCAGAATCTTGCACATAATATTGCTTATAAACACTTGCACACTTGATGACGGTTGTAGGTGTTCTCCATGTTTCAGCTCCGTACGATAGGACTGTCTTTACGTTCGTATTGAAGATTGTGACTTTGATGTTGGTTGCCAGTTGCTTTCAGTCACATATTGTTATAACGCTCGGTATTACTTCGCTTAATGTTATAACGCTTAAACGATTATCTACACTAGATCCCTCCCAGTGTCTATTCCACAGGACGTCAACACAACTCAGATCATTCTCCCCCACACATCACCTCCCTCGCGAAGTTTGATCGTATGACTTCACAATTGGGTCTACTTGAAAAAATCGGGTTTGTTTTCGTTCCCTTGATGATCTTCGGCTAGCTTCTGATTTCATATCATTTTTCCCTGTTTCAACTTATAGTGGTGGTGGGATATTAAATGTATCACATAATACTTCCATTGGTCAGGGTTTGGCTTTAGGTGACTCATAAACAGTTTTTCTGTCTCGCAGTTAATTGATGTGTCTAGTAGTCAGTGTATTTTCAACCATCACTTCATACATTGCCGTCACACGTCTTTTCGTAATACATCCATGTATCCATTTTGGCTTACCAGGCCGGAAATCACGTGCATAGACTAAGTCACCTGCTTTAAATTCTCGAAACTTCGGGCTATTCCCTTCCTTATTTTTTTGTAGTCCATTCATTCTGTCTTTCGGGTTCAAATTTTCGGCCAAATATTGTTTTGGTTGGTGATTTAATCGTATTGCAGACTGTGCTCAACGGCAGGTCCCATAAACCAAATTTATTTATCCAATCAATACTTGATAAGTTGGCATGACAGTTTCCAGGCACAACACTTTTCGGTCATAGTCTTATCACGCAATGTGAGAGATAACTGCATTTCTCCAAGAAGAGTAATGTTAGTTCCAGTTGCTTTCTTAGCGTTATAATATGTAGGGTGATATAGAGGTCGATCAAGTTTTATCCACGTCTCTCTAGAAATTAATGTTATGTCAGATCCTGTATCAATTTGCAGGTTAACAGGTTTACGATTGAAATACATTGTTACATACTTCCTTTTAGATGAGAATTGAGCAGTTTTTGTGGTCAGAATGACACTCGAATTATGTGGGATCTCTTTTGATGTCTGCGTCTTATTTCCTTTATGAAACCTATGTTGATGGTCGGCAATCCTTTTTCACTTTTGCAACATACTTGTGCATGACCATATCGGAAACAAACACTCTGCTCCTTATTTCCTTTACGAAACTTACACTGATGGTCGACAATCTTTTGCCCACTTTTACAAAATACTCGTGCATGACCATATTTGCCACAAAGGAAACAAACTCTTTTTTTTAAAATAGCAAGCATTAGCAGAATGACGTTTACCGCATCGCCAACAACACGTTTCGGGTTTCATTTGCTTTGAAATTTGGTGAGAGTACAGATCCTTATTTCCATTAAAAGCTTTCTGCAAAGTTTTAACTTTCACGTGTTCATTGTTCCTTTCTACTAGATTTGTGTCATGCTTCAAATTAACCATTCTTTGACATTCTTCAGATACTGATTTCAGGCTGATATTAGGATCTTGTTCCATTCTCGTTAAAATACGTGTTCTGATATCTGCATCTACTGCAGATTGTAACCCACATACAAAGATAAGGCATTTAAATTGAACTAAGGACATTTCCTGTAAATGGAACTGCTCACATTCCCGGTTCACGATGCTTGCATATGTCATATAATCGTCCTGTGATCTTTTCACAAGCTGAAGACACTGGTATCTCGTGTGAAAAACTGATGACCATTCACCGAATATATGTGTCAGGCACTCAACTGTTTCTCTGAAGGATATGTCTGTTGGCTTCTTCGGCAGAATAAAATTACAGAACTTTTCATGTTCAGACACTCCGAGCTTTCGTAATAATAATGATCTCAGTTTTGAACCTTCGTCCCACTGTTTACAATCGTTAATGAATAAATCCTCATGGCGCTTAAACCATGTCTCAAAAGTAATTCCACATTCTGGATCAAATTGAATTCACGATAGAATCCAGAGTCATATTGGAATTAGATACATTGGTTCTTGAGGATATTGATATATTTTTGACTAGTAATTCGATAAGAGAATTTCGCTGTTGCAATAAGGTTTTCAGGTCATCCATTTTATTATTAAAAACTCCACTTTAACTGGATATATAGGCGTAGATCCGTTTTATTCACCGTCGGCAATGTTATAACTTGTGGTTTGTACCTTTTGTTCGTTGATTTTCATCCCGTCACCAATTGTTATAGCGCTCGGTATTACTTCGTCTAATGTTATGACGCTTAAACGATTATCTATACTACATCTCTCCTAGTGTCTATTCTACAG